ATGGAATGAGAGTTAGCATTCTGATTTGAGATGGATAATGGCTGAAATGAAAAAGTACCAGAAAAATTTTGACCTGTTCTGTTGACTATGTAAAGACATTCAATTGTGTATTTAACAAATTATGAATAACATTACAAAGAATGGGAATTCCAGAACACTTAACTGTACTCACATGGAACCTGTAGAAAAACCAAGATGCTCAAGCAGAACAAAGAGATACAGGTGTTTAAAATCTGAAAAGGTGTGTGTCAGGACTGTATTCTTAAGAGTGGTTCAATCTGTATACTGAGCTATATTGAAGAAGCTATATTATATGATGAATGTGGCATCAGGATTGGAGGAAGACTCATTAACAACCTGTGATATACAGATGGTACAATCTTACTTGCTTAAAATGAAGGGGATTTAAGCAGTAACTGTTAAAGATTAAAAACTGCATTCTTCAATATGGATTACTTCCCCATGTACAGAAAGCTAAAATTCTCACAAGTAGACAATAAACAACATCATGACAAAGGGAGAAAAGACTGAGGTTGCCACAAGTTTTATTTTTAGATGAATTCACAGTCAACACCCATGGAAACAACAGTCAAGAAATCAGATGATGTAATGCACTGGGTAAACCTGTTACAAAATAATCTCTTTAAAGTATTTTAAAGTGAAGAGGTCACTTTGAAGACAAAATTGCTACTGACCCAAGCCATGGTGTTTTCAGTCCTCTCACATGCATGTCAAAACTAGACTATGAATAAGAAAGAAAGAAAAATTCACTCATATGCAAAGAGTATTGAATATATCTGTCTTGGAGGAAATTCAGCCAGAATGCTCCTTAGAAGGGAAGATGATAAGACTTAGTCTCAAGTACTTCAGGCAATCCCTAGTGAAAGATATTATGCATGGTAATTTAGACGGTCAGCAAAAAAGAGGAAGTTCGTCAATGTGATGAATTGATTCAGTGACTAAAACAATGTGATCAAATGTAGGAAGGATTGTGAGAATGACCCACAGGACAGGGCATTGTTTGTTCTGTTATAAACAGTGTTGCTGAGAGTTGGAACGAACTCCTTAGGACTTTGCAACAACAAGCAACATTTCCATACTATTAATTCTTGTTTTCTTTGTCTTGTAAAATATATGCCTAAATTGCATTTAAATATTTTGGAAGTAATTTTATTGTTATGTACTATGGACTCAGTTCTGACTCATAGTGACCCTGTCTAGGGTTTCCAAGGAGCAGCTTGAACTGCCAACCTTGCAGTTAAAACCAACCTTGTAGTCCAGCGCATTAAGCCCTAGCGGTACACCAAGACTCCGTAACTTTAAAGCTTAAAATATTTTGTCATTCTTTTTTTCTTATTTTCTAATGTAAATGTGCTTCACCCTGGAGATTACCTAGCCCAAAAGTTGCTAAATGTAGAAAAATTAATTTGTTAGCATTTATAACACCCCTAGGTTTTGAAGTCACAAGAATAAATCGTGTAAACTTCAAATCATGGCAAATTGTATCTAATACTTTGTAGCATTTTTCAATTATTTAACACTTTACTTGTGACTGTAGAGGGTTTTCAACAACACAGACAACCTTTTTCATACACTTAGAGCTTTTTTCAAAGTCAATGATTAATATTCCATATGCATAAAGTTCCTGGAAATTTTATCTCCAAAAAATTTTGCATAGTATTTTAGGGTGCTATAATTTTTTTAGTGATCTTCTTTTGCTATTTATTTCTTTTTAAATAAACCAACTAAGGATATTAGCTTTAGATCATTGTTAAAACTAGTAGTGTTTCTATGAAGTCAATATCAGGTCAAAGAGAGTTCAGTAAGATGGGCTTTCTCCTGTGCACCATCTGCCCATGTTAAATCACAATGATGAGTAGAATGTGTACTTGTTCACTGCTAATTCTTCTTTGGCCAGAATTTTATGTCATCTCGTAGTCATTACAATTGTCCAATTACAGTTGATCAAATTGGATTATTTTTAATCAGTGGGTCTGTCTTATTGTACAGTGGGCTAGTTGGGCATATTTATCTGTTTGCGTGATCTGTCCTTAGATTTGGAAAGCCAAATGTCATGTTGAAAAGAAAAATCTTTCCTGGGGGGAAGGGAAGAGAGGAGGCTGGGATTACTTCCAGTGTATTAGTGAAAGAATAATTTCAATATGTTCTTGTAATGAGCTTAATTAAAGTTGATTATGGAGTCCTGGTGTGGTGCTGTAGGATAAGCACTGGACTGCTAACAAGGTAGGCAGTTCAAACCCACCAACCTTGTTGTGAGAGAAAGATGAGGCTTTCTGCTCCTGTAAAATATTACAGACTTGGAAACGTTTTATAGGGTTGCTATGAGTTGGAATTGGCTTGATGACAGTTGGTTTTTGTTTAGTCTTTAAAAAACCCTGGTGATGCAGTGTTTAAACATTTGGCTGCTAATTGAAAAGATTGACAGTTTGAACCCACCGGATGTGGCAATCGGTTTCTGTAAAGATTATAGCCTTGGAAACTCAGTGGGGCTATTCTACTCTCTCCTGTATGGTTATCATGATTCAGGATAAACTTCATGGCAATGAGTTTGGTTTTGATAGTCTTAAATATTTGAAACAAAAATAATATCTGTGCAAAGTATGGTATTTATATATCTACATAGAAATGACATACTGAAGTTATTAAAACAAAAAATTCTATGGTTCTTAGATGAGAAAACAAAAACAGTTTATTTCAAATAGACAACATGATAACAAAATCAGATCCCTGTGAATGTTTGTATTATAGTTGAATAGTGATCAGTCTGAAGTTCTTTGTATGACTGCAAGCTGCATACACAATTACAAAATTGTGATAGATTTACACCGACTTATTTCCCTGCAGACGGATTCTTATACTTGTGAGGCAAATGGGTGAGAACGGGGCAAGTTGTCAGTGGATCTTTGAACAATGATAACCTGACTGAAGAACTAAAAGATGCATTTAGGGTTAGGTAAGATTGGAGATAGCCACACGTTCACTCTCTGCTATGTCATTTTGGGGTGATAGCATTACCATAGCACATCGAGACCGCTGTCCAGTCATGTATCATATGACACCAGAGAGTTCAATGTTCTCTAATGTTTAATTTGACCAAGAAGTTTTATCAGGCATTATCTCTTGATCCAGTATGCAAAAGAAAAAGCATGGAGATAGAGATGCTTTTTACCTTTTTCTTTTCCTCATTGAGTATCATATAGTGATCTTTTTGCCTCAGTTTTACAGCCTTTAGGTATTGATCTTGGCTCCTTGATTCTCTTTCAGGAAGATAAAACCATTAGTGTCATTGCTATTTCTGTCCATCATTTCATGTCTCTCTCTCTCTCTCTCTCTCTCTCTCTCTCTCTCACTCTTTTTTTGGGGGTATGGGGGTGTGGTGGTCGTGGTGGCAGGTTTTCTTAACAAGAGTACCTCAAAGCCAGCACTGAAGCTAACCTTAAAGAAATAATTGTTTAGTTTTAAATCCAGTCATGATTTTTATAGGCAGACCTAGTGTTGAATTATAAAATAAGTTGTGATGTTGGTGCCTTGCTGTAATACCTTATTAATTTAGTCAGAAATGAGGTCTATACTGCCCCAGCACATAGTCAATCCTCTGGCAAGGTGTCGCTGGTATATGATGGAATAAAATAATTATATCATGGGACTATGTAACCATTTGTCTGATTCTTCTCAATTCAGTACAAATAAACTCCTTAAGAATATGTGATAAGGATAGACATTTTGGCAAAAGATGTGGAAAGTTTCAAGTAGATTAAACATTCTAAATGCTTTAGTGTAATTATTGTTTCTCTTAACTGGAAGAAAACTATATGTATGGGTTCAGTAGTCCTGCTACAACTTTAAAACAGAAATGTCCTCTTTGGAAAGAATTTGCTTTAAATTGGATTCATATCATTCATTTTTCAGTGAAAGGATTTGAAAATTCTCTCTTTGGTAACCAAAATACTGGATGGCAGAATTGGATGCGTCTTTTACTTTAAAATGTAGACTTTCTCTGTGGTGAATGTATTTGTTGTGGTAAAGCATTTGAAAGGAAATCCTTGGGATAATTTGGGGTAAGGAAAATACTATTTTAAATAAGCCAACTTATCAATTCTGAACCTTGAAAATCACCTTATTTTGAATGAAATGGAATTAATAAATTTTAATAGCATGCAGAATATATGTGTGGATTATAATAAATAATCATGATCTAAAGCAAATTAAACTTAAACATTTAAGACTATAGTGTAATATACTTATATGATTTCTCTAAACAAATTGATGTACTTTAAAATTAATTTAAAAAATTAATGTTCTTTAAAGCTAATTAAAAAAATTAACTTTAAAGAACATCAATTTTATTTACTTCCCATATGATTTGGTCTGGGTCTTGGTAAATATCTCTCTAAGACGTAGTTCTTGTAAATGTTGGAAATTCTTTACAGGTTAACTTTCCCATTTAAAATTACTCGTGATATATTGGCTTCAATTTAGATGCATCTTTTCTGGAAAGAAGGTCCCACTAATCTGGTAAAACCAAACCAAACAAAAATGAATACTTTCCTAGGGTCTGTATTTTGTGTGGGAATTAGCTAGGAGAGGGAAAAGCCAGAATGCCAAAACGCAAAGAATATTCTTTACTATGGGGCTCTATCCAAAAAGAGTTTGTAGCACAGTGTACAGTCTGGTAGCCCAGCTGTGTGGAGCATTGATTGCTTCTGCCTAGGAGCAGGGATACTGTCAAGTTGCTCTGTGAGTTGAGTCATCTATTGACAAAGAGCTACCAGCCCGCAGATAATGCTGTGCGGAGCTGCTCTTGCTGCTCCCTCTGCTTCCAGGATGTACTGCTTATAGCAGCTGTCAAAAATACTGAGGGATGCACAGGGGGGCGGGGGGCGGTAGAGACTTTTACAACTGCCTAGAAGAAAGGGGTGTGAGCAGGAGACATTTCCTGTGCAGAGCTGACCAAAGGAAAAAGTAGGCATCAGTGCATTATGAATGCATACCTCACCAAGCAACACAGCTGCAGCCGGGTGTCCGATGGGATGGATGCCGGCAGGAGCGCACCCACGCTGATCAGGGATGCCCACTGTGCTTGTGGCTGGCAGAGGAACCCTCAGGGACTCGGGTATAATTCTCAGACCATGCCCTCCTCAGGACCTGGGGGCCCAGCTTCAAACAGAACCAAGTTGATCACCCTGTGGGACAGTGTGCGGAAAAGCCCCCACAAGACAGACACCAAGGGCAAAGGGACTTGTGGGGAGCGTTGTGCTTGCCCACATGGGTGGTACAGCCCAGCACAGGTGAGCCTTTTCCTTTTGACTTTCCCTTGAGTATTAGAAAAAAACTGAGAGCAAGTTGTGCAAGATTAGCATGCTCTGGAAACTTTGGAGTCCTCCTTGCTGACTTGCTGGGCTGACCTGTTTGGTAAGGTTTAGACCAAGAAAACCTGTCATTTTCCCATATGCCTAAGGGCTCACACCTCTTCCTGATTTCTAAATAGGGAGGGATGCTGTACTCAGTCTCTTTCAGTGACTTTTCACCAAGTTCAACTTCTCTAGTTTTCAGATGATTTTATTATTTTGTATTAAGAGTCTTTTTTGGTGGCATTTTTACTTTCAAGCATGGTTAACTTTTGTATTCTGCCTTGGTAGTTATCTCTGATTTTCTAGGAGAGAAATGAATGTCAGTCACATACTTCCATCTCTTTATCTTTAAAGACAAAAGACCATTTATTCCTTCAGTTATAGAGAATAGTGATTTGAAATGTGTTATTCTAATTTTACTTTTATAGTACTATAGACCTTGTAAATTATGGAGAAGAAAATTGGTTTAGACTAAATAATCAATTTTATAAACTAAAGAAATATTTTTAAAACACACTAAGATGATTATACTTAGAATACAATAATGAAATTTGTATTTGCTGTTAGAGTAGCAATACTGTTATTTATATTAAAATTATAACTCTTTTTCTCTTACAATACATTTCTGAAGCAGATGGACAGATTTCTTTAATTTGATTCCTAGCTTATTCTTGTCCCTGATAAAAATTACTAGCATTTTACCAGAAATGAATTGGCTCACTTCTTCCCTCACTTCCATCCAAAGGAGGGAAAATAACTTCCTGCAAATGCTATAAAATATAAATAAATTGTACCTGCAATCATTGTTATAAATACAGAACAATGCCTCTGCTCTTAAATATGCATCGAAAAGGAAAAAGCTGGGTTTGCAGAAAAAAGTCATTTCTTGATTTCAATTATTTTAACATAATTGAAAAGTGGATATTGATCATGAATAAAATATCACATTCAAAGAGGTGTAGAACATTGCAATTTTAATATTCCCTCTGAAAAGTTTTCCAAGAATGTCATACATCTTTATGTCTTAATAGAGTAGTTTTATTTGTGTGACTATATGTATGGCTTTTGATACATTGCCTTGAAATTAAAAGATGTGCTTGAGGACATGGAGCAACTGTGGAAATTTATTTAAATTAGAAATCTATTATGCTAGTATTTGCTTGAAATGGATCCTAATATTCAGAAATGCAGTTATTTAAAATAATAATAATAGGGATTCCAAGCAAAATAAATTCTTGATATATTGAAGACTCTCTCTCTCTCTTTTTGACAAATATATTTATTTGCCCTTAACATATATATCTGTATTGATTATGGTCTCATTCTGAAGACTCACATAGGTAAGGAACGTACACTTACTCAGTAGTATCTGACTTAGGGATTTTGTACAATGTAGAGAAAGAAAACTTGCTTTGTTGTTGCAATTCTTTTTATCCCAGTTGTAAAAACTTTTAATTTGATAAATGACCACTTTCCAAATCAGAATCCCAAATTCTACATTATAGTTGCCATGCATATTTTTCACTAATGGAGGAAAACTTTTTCTAGCCTTGGTTTCTAAGAAACTCCCTCTCTTACCTGCCTTAAATGTATAGCCATATAATGGAGTCCTGGTGTGGCACTGTAGGTTAATACTCTGGACTGCAAAGTCGTTTGAACTGCAAGGTTGGTCGTTCAAGCTCACCAGCTGCTCCTTGGAAACTCTATTATGAGTTGGAAGCAGAATCGACTCGACTGCACTTAACAGCAATGAACTTCTGGTGTGGCACTGTAGGATAAGTACTCTACCACAAGGTGGTTCAAACTCACCAGCAGCTGCTCTTTAGAAACCCTGTAAAGGGTCTCTATGAGTCGACACCAATTCCGTGCCACTTAACAACAGCACCAATTCTTTCAAGGATAGAATAAACTCTGCACTGATAATTTTCAGGGCTCCAGTAACATATGAGGAGGCAGAAAGCTGAAGGAGCTACCATTTCCCTTTATTCATTTACATACACTGTTCTATACATTTTCACTCTCATTTATATATACTTTATTGTTGGTCCAGAAAAATACTGATCCCTAAATATTGAAGCTGTGACACCATACCTTTTTGGGTTTTCAGTTTTGTGACATTCCTCTCTTCACTATTAACATCTCAGTCCTATAAAAGTACTGTACTCGATTAGACAGTCTTTCGCTTCATGCCACCACTGGACCATTTCAGCTATATTATATTGAGTATATTTTTGCCTGTGTGTATGCATATAAACATACATTTAAATACATATATTTAACAATCTCTAATTACCTAACTACTTGCATCTATAAATATTTGTTAGTACAGAGTTTTATTTATTTTTATATATGTACATACACATGCATACCAATACATATATAAAATTAAAGCTCTGCGTTATTTCTCCTTCCTCACCTGGAAAGTATTAACTTGATCTTCCACAGAATTTTTCATATAAAATATATTACTTTTGTTTATATGTGCTCAAAATGCTATAATATATATATATTTATATACCTGTAAGCATTTTTATGGGGTCCTGGTGTGGTGGTGTGGATAAGCACTGGACTGCTCATCTCAAGGTTGGCAGTTCAAATCCATGAACCATTCCTCAGAAACCATATAAAGAGTCACTATGAGTAGGAACCGATTCAACTACATTTATGTATGTATCTATGGAACATATTGGATATTTGAAAGAAGCAGCCATATGTATTGTACAGTAATGTATATTATCAAAAACCATAAGAATGTATAGCTATATGTATGCATTTTTGTCTATTAAAACAAAGCTAATTTAAAGAATTTTGTGATACTATTTTTAACCCCTTAAATTAGCTGGTAATAGTCTATGTTGTTGTTATTTAGTGGTGTTGAGTCTGTTCCAACTCTTAATGACCTTGCATAGGGTTTCCAAGGAGCAGTTGGTGAGTTTGAACCACTAGCCTTATGGTTCAACCCAACCGTGTGGTCCGGTGCTTATCATACAGTGCCATACCAGGACTCCAGTATTCTATAGAAAATTGTAAAACCAATGATGGAGGCTAATGGTACTAAACATTAGTGTTCTTGTTAAAGCAAAAATAAGGCTGGTACATGTTTTAGAATCGTCCAGGGACCCATATAAAGAACAGAACGTGCCTGCAGGTTAAGCTTCTGGGAGCTGGGATCTTGTCCTCAGAGCTATCTGTTATTTTACATGGAAATCAGTAGTGTGATTTCTGGCTGCTAAAATAGAAGGCCATGGCAGTGACTTAAGTTTCTCCCAAAGGCTCTTTGCCATCCTCTTATTATTTGGGGTGTTATGTACTACTCTGTTATTATGTTGTTCTCAACTGATCGAAAAAACAGATTCTTTCCTTTCTCAAATAAAGCTTCATTTCCTTTGGATCTGTAGAATTAATATAACCATAATAATAGGTAAGAAAAATGGAAAATTATAGTGTCCAGAAGTGAGTTCTAAAGTACACATCTAGGATAATAGTGTTGGCCTTGGAAAGAAACATGGCTATGATTGCTTATGTGGCATTTCTTCCTAAGGCCAACTGACTTGAGTCTCTGAAAACAGAACATAGTTGTTCCTCAGTTGTTTGTTCAACGGCATTACTGTGTACTATTCTGTTAGGCAGTATGATTATAATAGTAAACAAAGTACATACTAACCCTGGTGTGACACTGCAGGTAATGCACTGGACCACAATGTCAGTGTGAATCACAAGGTCTGCAGTTCAAACTCAACAACTGCTTCTCAGAAACCCTATACAGGGTCAGTATGAGTCAGAAAGGACTCGATAGCACTTAACAATACTCCCATGCTGACCTGAAACCACTTGGTTAGTACCCCTGACACTTGTACTGCTGAATGCTGACGTCAGCCGAGCATTATTTCTAGAACAGGACATGGAGAAGTAAAGCGCAGAGAGTGGGAGATCAGGCTAAGGTGACAATATTTATTGAGTACCCATAACACTCACAATGTGTAAGCACCATTATGGAGCTTACAAACTACAATAAGATATAATATTTAGCAAAGGCAGCACTATATACATAGAATTATGTCATCATAAATCACAATTTTAGAATGAAACAAAATCCCAGAATGTTCCTGATGCTATAATGAATATATATTTAGAATACAGAGGAACCTCAGATGAGCAAGAAAGCAGGTTGTCAGACAAGATCTCTTTAAGCCTCATTTTTCGGTTATACATCATAGGGGTAAAAATAGTACCTACTTCATAGGGTGTAGTGAGGAATGATTAATATTATTATGATTATATCACAGGGCTGCTATAATAGGTACTCAACAAATATTTGTGTAATAATTAAGGAATAGGTTAATAATGGCCACCATTTACTGTAATAGTTGTTATTTTTAAGTGCCTTTGAGTCAGTTTTGGCTCATTGTTGTTGTTATGTGCCGTGGAATCAGTTCCAACTCATAACCCTGTACAGAGTTTCTGAGGCTGTAAATCTTTACGGGAGCACAAAGCCTCATCTTTCTCCTGAGGAACAGCTGGTAGTTTAGAACTGCTGACCTTGCGGTTCACAGCTGATTCATAACCACTAAGCTACCAGAGCTCCTTATAGGACCCTGTATAAGGTTCCCAAGGAGTGGCTGGTGGGTTTGAACCACTGGCCTTGTGGTTATCAGTCCAATACTTACCCTACAGTGCCACACCCGGACTCTACTGTATTAGTTCACAGTAAATATTAGCTATTATTAACCTATTTCTTAATTATACCTGATTGCCTGGGCAGAGAAGAGTAGTGAAACAACAATAAATGCTTCTTAAAGGTGGCAACACTTAGACTGCATTGGATTCAATCTTGAAAAATATATTATATGTTCATCAAATTGACAAAGATACTTTAATTTGGGGGCAGAAAACCATCTAAAGCCGTGGTATCCATGTGGAGCTGTACATAGTTTGAT